AAGTCCATGAAGCGGTGCAGGTGCGGCTGCAGAGCGGGATCCTGCAGACGACAGGCGCCTCCCCCGACGTGCTCCAGAGCGACACGCTCGACAACTACCGCACCTTCTCCCTGCTGGAGCGCTTCCTGCAGTCGCCGCCCAAACTGGCCACGCAGGTCCTGCTGCAGATTCCCGCAGCCGTGCAGAGGACGCTGATTGAGAAGTAAGACACACACACGCATGCACACACAGACACACGCACACTTAATACATGTACCTGCAGCCGTGCAGAGGACGCTGATTGAGAAGTAAGGCCTGCAGACATACAAGCACACAAGCACACAGACAGACAGACACACGCATACTTAATACATGTACCTGCAGCCATGCAGAGGACGCTGATAGAGAAGTAAGGCCTGCAGACATACAAACACACAGACAGACAGACACACGCACACTTAATACATGTACCTGCAGCTGTGCAGAGGATGTTGATAGAGAGGTAAGGCCTGCAGAATGCACAAGCACACAGACACAGACATACTACACTTAATACCTGTATCTGCAGTCAAAGAGGATGCTGCATGCTGATATACTAGTAGTTATTAAAGGCATGCAAACAGACAAATGCTCATGCACTTAGACAGACACTGAATGTTGAGCCCTACATGCTGAAATGACTGAATGACAAGACTGAAACATGTTTGTCAAACTTTGCTTGCAGGTACTATGACTTTGACAGCGAGGTAATCCGTGAAATTCTCGGCAAGAAGCTGACCAATCGGCACAGGAAGGACGTCGATGATGTCAGCGAGAGAACCAACATCCGGCTGCGCAGCTGTAGGAGACAGGTAGGGGGCGCTATTTTGTCATTGGAGTTAGAAACAACAAGTTTCCCCACTTTGAGAGGTAGTCAGAGGTCAATCTGCAATAGATTTCTGACTTTGGCATGCTTTGCATCTGTTTGCATTTCATACGTTTGTCTCGTTTATGCACATTCTTGTGGCTAGATACATGACAAAACTACCAGTGGACTAGCCGTTACTGTTGTGGCCCAAGAGCTATAGAAAGAGAGATGGGCACTGCCCCTGTTCACCAAAAGGTGTGAGAAGTATTTTAGCTCAACATACATAAAACAAACTAAAAATGCACCTCTAGAGGGACTTGGTCACTAAAACTAGTAAAAGTCAAAACTTATGCTTGGAAGTTAAAGATCCTCTTGATTGTAAGGAGGATTTTAGCAAACAAACTGTTCCTTCTGTGGTCCTTACAGTATGACAACTGCAAGAATATCTTCAAGACAGTGGAGGACATGGAGGGTTCCCTGGTCAACAACATCAGTGTCCACTTCCTGCTGCCAGAAAAACTGGCCAAGTCAGTAACATAACACTGGGCACTTTCTAACTTCAAAAGACCTCACCAATTGATTGAAATTGGATGGCTTCCAGATACATGTGTAACAAAATTAGGCTGCACTGGAATATCTGCAATGTGTTATGTTATACAAAATAAATCGATCAACTGAAGAAATTCTCTGAATAGTCATGCTGACAGCCATTCACTATCTTTCATCAGTAAATGATTTATTTTTTTCTATGTAATGCTCTACCTGAGTGCTCACATTTTATTGTCTCTGCAGGAAGTACGCAGCCATTGTGTTCTTCAGTAATAACCGGTTTGAGACGGGGAAGAAGAAGCTGCAGTATCTGTCGTTTAATGACTTTGCATACTGTGCCGACCTCATGATCCACAACTGGACGTTTGGAGCAGCCGGCAAGTTCAGCACTTTTTTGATACGTTTATGTTACATTTGCACGTAACATGTGTAACATATGCATCTGCACATAATGGAATAAAAACATTTGGCTACCAATTCTCTATTGGTTAAAGCCTTACAGCAGCAGGGAGAAGGTTAACCTTCTGTTATTCTGGCTTCCTTCAGACTCCCAGGCAGATGACATGGATGTGGAGATGGACCGGGTCTTCCTGCAGGAGCTCAGGGATCTGAAGGTGCTCACAGGAGACAAGGACGTGTACGAGAAACACCGAGGGTGAGACAGGAGCCTCCACTCAGGCCTCACAGCTATCAGCAACAAGATCTGCTCTTCTTATTTTTGCTGTTTTTGTTTCTTAACAAAATAATCCTAGTGGTTATAAGTTAAAAGTTTCACAAATGAATGAGTGCAGTCAAGTGCAACCACCCTCTACTTCTGATTTTAAACAACAGCCATGACAAGTTATTATCTGTAACAAAGTAATTTTATTTTTTAATGGGACTGAAATGTTCCAAACATGTTGATAACAAATGATATTTTGTTGAGAAGCACTGCTAATGCATTATATGTCAATTGTCCTGTGAAGTCACATGACCTGCCTGTCCCCCCCCTCCCAGCTTGGTCTGTTCCGCCCTGAGAGGCAAGATTCCAGACCCGACATATGCTGATATTGAGAGCAACTTCAAGGTCAGATGTGCTTTTTTTGTGTGATTATTGTCAAGGTCATTAATCTGTATTTTTGGTGGATACTAACAGTGGTCTTTCCCCTGCACGTGGGGAAACAACTTGTCAGTTACACTGTCAACTCTATTTCCTGAATCTTAGCTGTTCTCAGAACCCTGCCTGTTTGTTACCCCAACAGAACCTGTCAAGGTGCATCGTGAGCGTCGCCTCTGGTCTCATCCACAGCAAGGAGCTGAAGGACTTCTTTGTGGACTTGGTGGAGAAGGTGGGATCATACTAAACATCAGTAGCCTGAAATCCATCCTATTCTAGCTCTGGTTCACTCCAATGACACAGAATGATACAGATATGCTATTTTGATACAGATATGCTCTTTTGTTTATTTGTGTGTACAGTTCATCGAGCCTTGCAGAAATGCCAGGTGGAGTAAGAGGGATGTCGAGGCGTTCCTGAAGGCGTATGAGGCAGCAATCCAGCAGATTCCGCAGCTAAAACGGTGAGTGTAGCATTTTTTGTAGTCCCGTCACCTTACCTTATACCTGACATCCCCCTGTGCCTGCTGACACATGACTGTGATATACTGCGATAAAATATTTGATGTCGTTTTTTTTTGTGTGTGTGGCATTTGTGACTCTGAAAAAATTGGAAGAAGGTAATTTTGTCTACTTATGTTTTCAAAATATGTACAGAATTGAAATAGAAGTAAAACACATGAAGAACTATAAGAGATAATGAATACGTAACACCTGTCGCACCTAACAATAGGAGGCTGGCATGCATGACATAGTAGTTTTTTTCATGCCATATCATGTTCACTCCAGGTACCAACCGCACCTACTGACTGTGTGGACCCGCTACATGACAACACTCAAGAAATGTATCCTGCAGCTGTATCACTGCTGACACCTGGAACTGAAAGTCTAATGTAGGGAACATTTGATAGCTGACACCTGAAAGTTAAGATGACAGCTGGGAACTTGGAACAGCAACTATATCACAGCTGACACCTGGAACGGCAGCTATGATATAGCTGTAGCTGGAATAGCAGCGATGATATAACTTGAACTTGGAACAGAAGCTATGATATAGCTGTGACCTGGAACAGCAGCTATGATATAGCTGTACCTGGAATAGCAGCTATGATATGGCTGGCACCTGGAATAGCAGCTATGATGTAGCTGACACCTGGAACAGCAGCATTGATATAGCTGACCTGGAACAGCAGCTATGATATAGGTAGCACCTGGAATAGTAGTTGTATCATAGCTAACACCTGGAACAAAAGCTATGACACCTGTGTTTGTGCCACTATTGCACCTTTAAGTACTGTAGCATCTGTTCCAGTAGTAAGTAATTGTTACTCAAAGCTGGACAGTGTGTAAACAAGTGTGAAATGTAGCTTATCTATATGTTATGTTCCATGTGTGAATAACAGAGTGTACATACTGTGAATAGTAGAGATATAGGTATGATTTAGAAATACTTCCATCTGTACTTAACATATGGGATGAACATTCCATTTACAGTTCTTGTTGCAAGTACTCAGATGAAGAAGCCTGGTTACCATCCCAGTTAGTTTTACTGGTTGGTGAGAACACAGGAGAGGAGTGAGTGTTAAGACTAGGATTGTTACTGAAGGGGGCAATAAAGTCACAATATATGACAATGGCACAATCTACTATTATTAGCCTCCTTTTCAGGCATTCCTGGGATCAGTCTCCCTGGATCAGGGATGGCTATGTACGGTTGGCGGCGGGAGCTTCTATTACGTGCCATCTACGTTTGGTCAGAAAATACCCCCCCCCAAAAAAAAAAAACGCCGATCCCAGAATTGAAAAGGAGGCTAACAATCTATGTGTATCTGAATTCTGAATAAACTGTCACAACAACAATTCAAGGTTGTTTCATCATTCTATCTTCCGATTTTGTGTCAGTTAATTGTTGTCATTTATAGTTATTTACCATTGGTTTCTTGTTGAAAACACAGTACTCAATATGAATATAGAAACTCCAAGCGAAAAATGCGAAATTATCATGCCTTTTGTGTACTTGTGAGCCATTGACCGACCATAACCGGGCAAGCTTGAAATCTTTGTAGACGCCCATCATTGGACAAAACAGTGGAAACCTCTACGACTTGTCAGCCACTGACCTACAATAACCGGGCAAGTGCAGTAGACTTTACATACGTCAACCCGTGGAGCCGCCCAACGTCGAACAAAAATATGTAATTAACCATGGAAAATTCCATTTATGTCAGCCCAGCTATAATGAAGTGTGTGATACTAATTCATCATACTGGTATCATTTTTAATTGTTACATTTTATGAACCTATTACAACATAAAGGCATTTGTACAATTTCATTTTTTACACTTTGACACCATAGTTCACTGCAATGTTTATGTTCGCATCACGTTAGTCACTAGACTAGTGCTAACATTCTGCAATTCTATTCTATCTACAACACCAGGTTATTTTATTTTATTCGTTATCTTCGAATTTTTGTCGTAGCTAATATGCTGAAATAAACCGACGTCACATTTGATATGGGCTGTGCTTGCGACGTGCATGACATAAAGACTTGATTTGTAAAACGAAGCAATATCGAAACTAAATGATTTGGCTATAAAGACTAGTAACTAGTAACCAGTTCTATTAAACTTGTACGTAGTACATGGTTTCTGTAATTGACTGTTGAAGTACAATGCACATGTACTCGTCAGTCATTGACCGACCGTAACCGGACAATTCGAACTTTTTTCGAGTCGTCAGCATTTGACAAGTCAGTGGAAAGTTCCATGACTTGAGTTCACAGCGTCTGACCGACAATAACCGGACAACTTGTATCAGTGGACCGCATGAGTCACACAGAATGAACTATCAAAGGTGTACATACCCCCAGGCGGCTTCTTGCGTTCAATGGCTTAAGTGAAGTGTGTGATTTCGACCTAGCAGGCGAATACCATCATCATAACCTGTTAACTCATCGAGAATATGGAGCGTCAACGGCGCACAACTGTCATAATTCCACCACATTTCGATTTTATAAAAGCTGACGTTACGTTTTATTCGCCTAATGCAACCCCATGAAAATTTAACAATGGAATCCACTCTGTTTCTGTACGCCATGTTTCGTCACCTTCCTCTTGTAGCACTGCTGTCACTAGATCTAAAGTGACGCTTCACAGTCAGTGTGATCCTTTCAAAACTACCTGGCATAGTAGAGTTCGCTAGGTACAGTATTTTGGAAGCACAGAAACTCAACAAGAAACATAATATCAGCTTATATATTTGAAAGGATTGATGAAATATGTCGCTTCAAAGTATTGTGCCTCAATCCAGAGTGCAGGTACACATTGACGTCATAAGGTAATTGCGGTAGGGTTCATTGCCCGGGCGCGCGGAAGGGGTTGGGCAAAGCGTCGCAACTTTGGGCCATATTTAGAACATAATTACAGTGACTTCATTCACCGAACAAAAACATATCTGCATATGATTAGAGATAAAAATATCTAAGAAGAATATAAAAGGGCCAACCTGACGATACATTTCTCAGAGGAACTTTCGCAAAGCGACAACCAACTGCTACAAGACATCGCCAAGTTCCGCCACAGCCATAGGACCGAAGAAGAATCGACGAGCCAACAACACTTCGCTAAAACTTAGTCGAAGACTCCTCCAAAAGCGTTGAACAGCTGCAGCAAGTAAAGGTATGCTAAAGTGGAACCGTTTGCTATGTCAGGAAAATCTCAGCGAAAATATGCTACCAAACGTCAAGAGTCGGATACTGGAGGTGTAGTTTACATTAGAGAATTTTGACTTATTCGAGAAACAGAGGCCGCACTCGGTACAATTTAGCAGTGACTCGATTCAATTTGGATGTATTTGATGTGTTTTCGAGATGTACAGTATAAAAAAAAGTGTTTTGTTGTCGGCTCGGTAAAATTCTGGCTTTGTGCGGGCAAGTTTATAGCAAACAGCCTGAAGCAAAACATTTGACGGGGGGGTCTGGTCGGATTGTCCTCGATAATTATCAGCAATTGCATTTTGTAAAATAAAGCCAGTTGCATGACAAAACTTAACACCACAGGAGTTCTTAAAAAGTGAAATACGGCACTGGTATCTAAAAAGAATGATAACTAGCTTACGTTAACCAACAAGTAACACTGAAAATGTCACTTTTTCAGGTACAACATGTCAAGGCAACAACAACAAGTACTACATGTCACACAAGCGCCTGTGGGTGACAGGGGTACCCACAACCCGGCTATGATCATGGATAACAGCGATACCAGGGTTGCCGGCTACCCTCCGCCATATCCCACCCAACAACAGCCGTATCCCACCCAGAAAACTCCATATCCAACCCAGCAATCGCCAGGCACATTTGCGGTCTACCAGCCCGGTCAACAACACCCAGTCGGCAGCGCAGCAGCTGTGGAGGCGGGGGTGGCTCCAGGACCGGTCATGCAGGAAGAACGCCCTGGAGGATGTACCCAAAAAAAAGTTGCAGCCGCAGTAGGCGCACTGGTACTTGGCATTGCTATCGGAGTATTGGCGAATATAAATAGGATCATAAATTTAACATAAAGACATATGGCTAAAGGGCCTCATTGTCGCATGAGTTACAAATCGGTGGGTCACTCTTCTGTGCGGAGTGCTTTTCACATTTTTGGATCATTTTATCTAGTCAAAACTACCTACAGTGAAGGAAGTAGTCACAGTAGAGAGGAAGCCACTCGAGACCAGATTCTTAAATTAATGCTTGGGTCAAAGGGAAAATTATTCTGTTGAGAGCTTTAGGGACTACCAAAAGTGGCTACAATGTTTTAATCTGTATTAATAATGCAGAGGTGGTCAGAGCTTGATTGTACATGTGTACCATGGATGCCAAAGTATCCTGTGTCCTACCAGAACTAGCAGCATGATAAAATTCAAGCTACTTTTGAGGGTCAGCTGCCATGGCTTTAATGCTCAGATATGATCTATAGCAATTCTCATCATGCTGAATATAGTTGTGCTGATAGATGAAAAACTTAAGTGCTTATTGAACAATATGTGAGCTATGTACTTGCTAAGGCCAGATTTTACATTTTTTATGTATAAAATCCTAGAAAACTTAAAAGAAGAAATCCTAACTGACCTTTTTACTTTCTACTGCAAACTATATATTTATGTACAGTTAAGAATTAGTGCTCAGGCATCGTGTAAAGATCCTGCTTTTAATGACAGCTCTTTAACATACAAGTATGGTGTTCTAATCTATAATTTTGAAGAATGCTTTTTATTAGGTTAAATGTCTGTTCCTAAAAATATTTACTATTTTCATATCAAAGTTACTCTATACAAATATACAAATGAGAAAATAAATAACACCAAAATGAAAAACGATTTCTGCCTGGTCCAATACTTTCATCTTGTGATAACCGATACATTATTTTGAATAGATATCAGGACGTAGATTTAGAAGATCTCCTGTATTTCCTCAAAATAGTCATGGCCAACACTGTTAGGGTCTTTGCTATACATTGTACAATGTGTCCACAAACTAGTCAAAGTGATCCTTAGAAACAAGCTATTTTACATACATGTATTATCAATTGACTTCCTTGGTCCAAAACAAAGTTAACCCAAGCCTACAGAGTCTGCATCAAATACAATTCTTGCATCTCATCCAAAGCTGTTATGGAAAATCTTATTTGGAACAAGTTACAGCACTGGGTGCACAAAACAACTTGCATCACATTGACTTAGTTACTAGTAATATACATTTCACAAAGAACAGACATTGAACATGAACATATACATATAATTGTAAACAGCACATTTGGCTTCAGATAATTTTACTACTACATGTAATACTCTTTTTCACTGTAACTACAAAGATATGGCCATTTTATGCCTACTGTTAACATTGACACTTGCAACTTGAGGTCCTGATGTTGTTGTTTTTCACTAGCCCTGGTCAAACGAGGCAGAGACAGACTTGCTTTGAGAGTAGCCTGACTAAATTGTGCTCTAAGTGGTCTGCCTGACTAACCAGGGTAACTCAAGGAGAGGAGATGCCCATTAGGCACTGGTTGCAAAAGATTGTGTAATACAGGATTCTTTGCGAGTAGGTCAAAGACAAACATAGACAGACACAGTGAGACAGATACACCAGCAACTAGCTACATCAGTGTCACAAATCCACCAGACCATTGTCAATGCTTAAGGAGGGTCTTTGACGACTTGTGCCCATGAAAGAGTCGGGGTTGGTCATCTGGCTGCGGAGGAACTCCACCTCCTGGCACAGCGACTGCCGGTCCTGCATCAGGCCGTTCTGCTTAGTCAGCAGCTCCAGCACCTGAGGTATATAAAAATTGCTGTTTATGTTATAAGGTTGCATAATTGCAGTATCCCATTATGCAAGTAGCCTTGAGAAGAATCCAGAGATTATTTATTAGCACGTCAAATTACAATTCTTTTGGCTTCATGGCACCTGAAAGAAACAAGGAGGGAACAACAGATGAAGCATCATACAGGAAATGACAATATTGGCTTCAAGCTTGCAACTAAGCTGGCAAGCCTCTGGATAGATATATAACTTCAAACACTGTGCTCTGCTCACAGATGTCAGATGGTTAAAAGGAACGACAGTTTAAATGGTCTTGTACTGTGATCCAAACCCCATTCTCTTGACACCTCCATACAATATATGTAAACCCTCTTCAATTATTTTTGTACAACTGAACTGAATGCATGATGTAAGCTGTAATACAGTAAGGTAGCTGCACCTGCTGTGCACTGTTCTGTGCATGCTGGTCCATCTGTTTCAGCCGTGTCTTCATGCGCTGGTGCAGACGGCCGTGTTCCACACACTGCTGCTCCAGACTCTTCTCCCGCTCACCCACCTTCCCCAGCCGCGAGGACAGCTCCTCGTTTAGCTGAGACAGCCGCCCAACATCAGACCTGGACAGAAGGAAAGATCTTTACTTACCTAAAACAAGTGTCAGTCACATACAGTAAGGGAATCATCACTACATAGCTTTAAAAAGTCTGGAGTAAAGGATAATGCAGAATTAGGAGTGACAGGTCATTCAATGTAATATAAGCAGCCACTACCATACCATGCCTGCAAATCTGGTGTGATACACAGAAGGGCAGTCATAAGGACCATACAATACAGAGCCCAGTGCATTGACGGACAAATCTGTGGTTACCCACCTATACCTGTCGCCGAGATCCTCCAGTTTGGTGGTGAGGTCTCTACACTCCTCCCTGAGGCGGGAGATCAGATCCTTCTGGGTGGTCACCAGAGTGTCCAGGTCTACTGAGGACTGGGCTGGGGGGCAACAGTCAACATATGAATATAAATTTAAAATGCACCAACAAGTCCACCTCTACCAAAGCGTAATTGTAAGTTTAAGATGCACTGGAATACAGTCAAACCTCTACATAAGGACCACTTGGTCAATGTGATCACTTTTTGGTAGTCTCTTACATGTGGATGAGTTTTCCCATTGGCACAAGCATTATAAATCCTGTTCTAAGCTATCCACATAGACCAGAATTTTTTATGCCTGTGAAAAATCTCAGGCAACACAACCTCCTCTCTGCTACCTAAGTCTGTAACCAGTATATATATCTGGTACCAAAAGGCTACTTCAGTATAGGGAAGGTTCACCTTGTTGCCTCTCCTTTTGTTCCATCTCAGCTATGAGCTGCTTTTCTCTCCTCTGAGCATGCTCAATGGCTTCCTTCAGGTCATCACTGCGGCCCCGTTCTATGCTCTCCTTCTCCATGCGAGCGAGGTTTGCCTGGAAAAATTGTACCACAAATTGTACCTGTACCTGGAGGTAATGATTTTTGGAGTGTATATAAATGTCTGCACAACTTTCCAGTGCTTGTAAAGGGGACATTGTTGGTGCGATTGTTCATGACTCTTGTAGCAAGTGTGCTGCTGTGCTTACTGCCATGTGAGAGTAGAGTGCAAGACTATCAGATACATTTATGTACAGGTGCAGTAGGATGTACAGTCAAACCTGTACTACTGACCACCTCAGACCAACTGGCAGTTTTGGCAGATTTTGTTGGTCCCATAGGTTTTCTTCCCATTGAGAATCCTGTTTGTGGTGGCCACTTTCCTACTGTGACCAAGTCCCCCAAGTGGTCAATAAGGACAGGTTTGACTGTATTGGATAAGCAGCTGTATTATACACCCCTAATAAAGTCTGTATGAACCTGGTTCTGCTGGCCTTCCTTTACCACATGAGGCCCCTTGTCCCTAGGGCTAGGGGTCTGAACCATGGGGAGAAAAGGGAGCATGGAGGGGAAAACACACATACACATTGTGAGAATTTTTCAACAAAACCTCACTTGACAAATAACCGATCACAGGATTTTTATTTTTCCAATAAACTGGCTTAGTTTTGGGGCAGAGACTGACAGTCTATTCCAAACTGCAAATGTAGTTCTTTTTAGACTTTCCCTTGTTTTCATCATTCCCGGTACTAATACATGTAGTATGAAATATTGTAGAAAAATATACAACTTGATATGTTCCACGAGGATGGTGGTCACTCAGGTCTTTTACCAATGACCAGTAATTCACACAACACGACAAATCTCAAGATTGCATATAAGACTGACCTCTCTCTGCAGGGCATTCATGGCCTCTGTCAGGTGCACCCCCTCCTCCCTGCTGTCCATGGCCTCCTTCTCAGCCTGCCGCAGTCTCCGCCGCAGCTCGGTTACCTCGTCTGACAGCCGGGAGTGCTCCTGGACAAAAACACCACAGTAACAGGCTGTGGAACTGAGCTAATGCATGTACATGTAGTAATACTTTTTTTGCTGTGACTATCAGCCAATCAGTTGTCTTCAGTTCTTGCTACCTACATACGTACAACAGGATGATTTGAGCTTCTTGTGAATAGACAAAGGTTCAGAGAATGTACCATGTGATGAAGTAAATTATTTACATGTACTAAATACTGCTTTGGCTATACAGCCATAAGTATCCTTCCAACAGATCAGTTCAGTTAAGTATGGTGCAACTTCCCAATGTTGCAGATGTTCAAAGTCATGAAATCCAGTCTAACCTGATCCCAGTCTTTTCTCTCCCTCTCCAGCTTCTGCTTGAGTCTGGTCATCTCCTGTTCTGCCTCGTGTTTGGACCTCACAGCCCTGGACAGGTCACTCTGTACCCCATCTGACATCTGGGGATGGCAACATTTGATGTGAGTCAACCACTTTTCTGCTCAATACAGACAACATGCTCTGTCAATGAAGCTCTTCCAGACATATGGTTCCTACACCAGGGAGGTACAAACTTAATACAACTCTTATCTGCCTAAAGAGACCTTCAGGCTATTTTGCTATAAATTCTGAACCCAACAGAAATTACAGGTTGATATACATGGAAGGTAATGGAAGGAATGCAAGTTAAGTAACACTCTGCTGGTTAAACATAACAGTCAAAGAAGTGGTGTCTAAGAGCCATGGAATTCCAGACCGTGTCCACATCCATTCCCTGTGCAGAGAGGTGTCCTTTAGTCTCGTCCAGCTCAGACTGCAGAGAAGCCTTGTCCCTGGCAGCCTGGTCCAACTCAGCCTGCAGGGCAAGCTGAGACTTCTCCAGGGAGGACATCTGTTAACAAGGCAATCAAAAACAGACTTAACTGTCTTGTTTGTAAAAGCCCTCTGGTAGAAGAAATTGCAACGCACATACACATGCCATAAGTAAAACAAAAAGAAACTCTCAGGACCACAACTATTGGTAGACTTTCATCTTAAGTTGTTCAGGAGTCAGGACATACAAAAAACAAACTCCAAGGCTCGGAAGATATACTGACCTTGTTTTTCAGCTGTTCCACTTGCTGCTGGTACTCCCTCTGGACTGCCTCTCTCTCTCCCTTCACCCTCCTGTTTGTGTCATTGATGATGTCTTCTAGCCTCTTCCTTTGATTGGCCAACTCCTCAGTCACCTGTGCTCTCTGCACCAGAGCCTAGAGAGATCATGAGATATAGGGAGTTGAAGTTAACAAAGTATAATCACACATTACCAATTACACAACACGTACAAAGTACAAAGTGTGTACAACACAACACAACACAACACAACACAACACACAACGCAATGTATACAAAGTAAAGTGAAGTAATTAGTTTCACCTCAGTCTTCTCCAGATGCGCCTGCTCCACGAGTGCAACACTCTGCTTCACCTGCTCGTAAGCCTCGTCCTCTCTCTGCTTCATCTCGGACAGCAGCGAGCGTGTCTGGGACAGGGCGTCCATCAACTCATCCCTCTCTCTAACATAGCAACAAGGGGGAATGGCACTGATTATGGTGTTCTAAGGTTTTTCTCTGTAAATCAATTGAGAAACCAACCTAGGAATTGATTGGTTATGATTTCAATCACGTTACCTGTATCTTGTAATTTATTTTGTCTGAAACAGACCTCTTCTCTAATGATCTCAATGAAGAGTAGCCAGCAGACCAATTTGAGTATTCCATGAATAAACAAAGGCTAAAACAAAAAACAACAAAGCAATCCACTGGTACTCTATCTGGTTACCATCTGCAGGTTCCTACCACCTGTCTTCTCCCTCCCACACCTGTCCTTACTATACAACACATCCTTCAGGTGTTTACCTGGTTACCCTCTGCAGGTTCTGCTCCAGAGTTCCCACCTGTGTACCAGACAGCACGGCCTCCTGTTGTGCACACCTGATGCACACCCCTCCCACCTGTCTGGTCTCCCCAACACCTGGACCCAGCAGGCCCAGGGACTCCTGCTGTCTGACCTTGCCCTGAAGGGCGTCACATTCCTCCTCTTTCCTGCCAAGTTCTGACCTGGGAACACAGGAACACAACGTACATCTACTGTTGCAGTGTAGACAATTTGAAATGAACAACAATGCTTTTGCAGCTTTGACTTTGAGGAAAAAAAAAAAGCAAAGCAGCATATCAGATAACATACATACAGATGTGAAGATACTTACTTTGTAGCTTTTAGCTGAGCTTCTAGTTGCCCTGTCTTGGCTGTATACAGGGCTTTAAGCCTCTCCTGAAACAGTAAATAAAAATTAAATAAATATAACATAAAACAGTTACATGTATCAGCAAAATTGCATATCAGGCAGGATAATCTTGTGGTTTATACAACTGAAACACAAATCTCACCAGTTCTTTTTGCCATTTCTGGAACAAGTCCTTGTCCTTCATCTCTCCTGCCCTAGCCAGGTTCTCTGCTCCTGGTACTGTACTGTCCACACCAATGTTTGTGGCAGGTACATTCTCCTGGGTCTGCTGAGACAGAACATCCAAAGAAAAAATAGACTTGTATTTAAAAAAAAAACTTCCAAAAGACTGGTTGTATACTGAAATCTCACAAAGACCTAGACTAGGTTTTCTGGTTCCTATTTGTGCATTGGGCAGCCATATCCATCTGTCCACGAGTCTCACTTATTTCTCCTGTTCCTCCCAAAATGAACATCACACAATCCCTTTCAGATACAAAAAATAAAATATTTCCTGATGACGTATTTCTAGGATTTGAAGAGTATTGAACAACATGGCTGTTGAATACATTCACTAATTGTAACACATCAAACAATGTACATCACACGGTGAAGAAAGCCATGCTCTATGCATGTAGCACTAATCAAAAGTGATTGCTGCTTGCAACAAAACACACCTGTGGGATTCCCAGCTCCTCATCAAGGGTGGCAGCCACGTGCCGAGCCTTCAGACTCTCATGCAGTTTCTGGTTCTCATCTACGACTTCTTTCACTCTGCCCTTCAGCAGTGACAGTTCCTCCTGGAGAGGAGTGATTTCTGAATCAGTCATCAATTGTGGCTTCTCAACAGAAAAATGTGTCATTGTGCAAAGTGCATCTACATATTCTGAATGTTGGATGAGATCTCAGTGCACAGGATTATCAACGTTCCAGTTTTTCCACATGCTGGAATGTGGTTTCCTACCTCATGTTAATCCTCAGTTGAAGATGACTGCAACTTTCTGCAGCAGCACTTTATGTTCACTACTCCTACCTTCACATATCTGTTCTCTGCCTCCAGCTGCTGGATGTAGCTGTCCTGGGTGGTCAGGAGTGGGACCAGCTCCTCTGCAGGGGGAAGGTCATGACCTCTGTCCCCCAGGTGCTTGATGGGAGAAACTGGGACAAAGTGAGGATCCCCAAACTTGTCAGGGGATGCTGGGAACAGGGGCTGTCTGGATGGTGATCTTCCTCTTCCAGGAGAAGTCTAGGGAAAATATACAGATACAGAGATCAAAATAACAGTTAAGTAATTACTTAGTGAATGAACATACATGTATTTGATTGTTATTGATAATCTGAAAACAAAGGAGCCAAAAAGGAATGCACAGTAAAAGCAATAAAATTATTCCAATCTGGTCAATGACCCAGCATATCATCTGGACCGAAGAATGTTTACCAGAGGATCATGTGTCAGAAGTAGACTAAGGCATGCAAGAACATTTCCATTGTGTACTTGTAAATGAATATTAAATGGAAAGAAAAATTGCAATTCCAGATCACTTCATGAATTCTTCGCATATGCACTGCTCTGAACACTTACCGGTGGTTTGGAACCTGTCCTACTTCTTGATGGGCTTCCTGAGGGTTTCTGCAAAAGGTTTCGCAGTCGGTCCACTAGACATGAGTAAAAAAGTAGAGGAGAGTTATGCAGGTAAAAGAATGCAACATGGATGTACTTTTAAAAAAGGGTACGGGTGACCTGGTGTGCTGTAGCAAAGCGGCACTGCACTACTAGCTACTGGAAAAATCTCAATTGAGGATGACAAGTGAACAAGATTACTTAGATGTAGACCTGCAAATCTCTACTGTTTGACTGACGTCGTGTGTGAAATTGAAGCATGTGTCACTGGTTTGCAAGCAAAATGAGTTGGATTGACTAGTTGACAACATTTGTGGTGTTAAGTGTATATACATCTCTGTCCTACACTGTGGGTCATATATTTAATTTATAAGCAGTGCCTAGTCGAAGCTTAAATGGAATGAATTATCCCACTACTTACAGGGAGGTTTCCCATGACCATTACCTCATGAAAGGGAGAAAAAATGAAATGAGAAGTTGTTAATCATGTAATGTTACTGGTATGCCAAAAAAAAGTAAGTATCTCATGATAGCTGAAATAGAACAATCATTAATGTTCTGTCTCCCAAGAGATATGCAACATAATATAGGACAAGGTGGTGATGCAAATGATATCATTTTCGTAACTAGCATGGCCCTGGGTGAAATTTTATTTTTTAGTGACATAACATTTAAGAATCAGTACCATTAAGTCTAAACAGCAGCTTTGATGTACATGTAGAGGTTGTTCCAATGAATATTTTATCAGATGAGCAACATGTTTTTTCTCGTCTTCATTTCTGGCAAATTGGAGTTCAGGTGATGCAAAAGGACTAAGGTACCATAAAAAATGCACAGTACTCTGTACTGATTTCTGACAGTGACAATAATCGACCATTAATTTATCCAAAGAAGCGATGTTTGGTATATTCCTACCTGCGGTCTGATAGACCTGTTCCTGCTTGGCTAAAGCCTCTGGGGATATGTCTGTATGGGCTGGGCCTGCACCACTTCTGGGAGGGGAGGTCTGGCCTGGGTAGGGCGCACTGAGGGCGTGATGTAGCTCATTGTGGGTCTCACTGGCACGATCTACAAAACAAAAAGATATAATTTAAAGGTAAGATCTTCTATGTGCATGTTATTTCTAAACACACTCAATATACAATATAAATTGCACAGGAATCATGACATGCATTGTCTAAGCTTAGGCGTCAGTAATGACAACATCATGTTTTCTAATCATTGGGAGAAATGATAAAATCTGTCTATTGTAAATCACAGGTCAGCAACTGTGTTACCTCACCAGGGGTTGGTGATTTTGTCCTGGTGGGAGACAATTTTCTCTTAATTGTAGACATGATTTTCTTCATCTTTGCCATAGCAGCATGCGGCTTATCTATCTATACATTGCTAACTCGCGAAATTATGGGGCGTGTCATCACAGAAAAATCCAGTTGAGTCAGACTGTGGCCAACTTTGGGGTGATCGACTGTAGAAAAGCCGCGTAGATTATTAACGGTAAGGAGAAACAACAAACAACAAATGGGCGTGAACATAATGAAGCAACCACAAAAGAATAGGTGTCAAGTTCACTGGAAGGACAATAGAAGCTGAAGTAGGCCGATCCGTTCTTTTCTTCTTTTGATGAATGAAACTGAGTAGCTTTGTTCAAGTACCGAATCAGTAGTAACAGATCCGCTTGATACCTTAGAAAGTTGAGAGGTGTATACAGATGTGCTCAGTCGGTTCTATGACAAAAGCAAGCCACGCTCTGGAGGTGATAACAAAAGGGTTTAAAATTTAATGAAGTTAGCTTTTTGTGTGCTGTGACGATGGGAGGGGGGCAAGGACACTTCAGTTCCAGTGCGTAGAACTCACCTCGTACAGCTCTCTGGTACTCCACAAGGGAGTCACTGACATCTCCGTCATATGCCTGCATTGCTAGCTAAGTACAGAATACATGGCCAAAGCGGAAAGCTGAACGTTAGCCTACAAATTGGACACAGAAAGAGAAAATTTGAACGGAACAGACACTTCCGGATTGTGTTGCATTTCCCGCGCAGGTCTTCTGCGCATAACACGAATCAAATGGACCAATCATAGAACAGTAATGGCAACTAGCGGTACACCGCAGAAAAGTGTCACAAAATTGTAAAAAATTACCATATTATTCCGATAACTCAAAAGCTTCCACGTAATTTTTATATTATAATTACATTGTAATAAAATATAGGTTTTATAAGCAAATAACTCAATCTATTGATTGTTCGAATATATACATAACTGTTTTTGCGTGTTGTTGCCATTACGGCTTTCCGCTAGCGAAATTCCTGCATTTTCCCCCGGTAGTTGCCAGTTGTTATCGAATCCAGGGACAAATTTCTCCCCGCAAGTAGCCGCCTAGCTTTCCACAAGAGGTAAGTGTGATACCCACGAGCCTTCTCCTTCTGTCTGAACCCTTGAGCACACATGTAGGTGTTTCTGTGACAGACAGAGGCACGGAACAAGTGGCAGGTATAGTGATGGGTGGTTCCGGTGAGGAGGAGGATGACAACATGACAGGATAGGAGAGGGATGTTGGACATGTCCTCCTGAAGATCGCCTGCCGCCAGCAGGAACTAGATACAGCTTCTTGTGATCTTCCGGTGACCCCAGTTTGCCTGGAGGCAACTCAAGCGCAGCCGCGCCCGTTTATACCACATATACATATGATTTAGTATGACATGACAGATGTCATACATGTCTCGACTCGTCAGCCCCGGAGCAAAAATATCGAGTACTACTAAATCTAATCCAGAGTGTATGCTGCCATAAAAAAAGGCGGATTGTGTCTGTCTAATGTTGACTACCTAGTTTGTCTAAAAGTACAAGTCTCCTATGTATGTGCAGTTTCATTCCTACCTCAGTCATGAAATAATAATTCAATTCCCCAGGACCACATTCATTCATATTCCAGTCTGTGATCATCCTGTCGGTGAGTTCCCAGCCAGCCTGCCTATGTTGTGCACTCCATGTGAATTATTTATAGAGCATGACGTAGCAGTTGATGTCTGGCCAGCCGGGGTGATGTGGCACATCCACTGCCTTGTTTCATTAAAATGGCATGTTAGCATCCAATCCCTAGGCCAGGGATCATATCGGGGGTCTCAAGTGGACAGCTGAACCTTGGAAGACTCTTCCTCCTCTTGGCTTGTTGATACCCAGTTTTGGGGACACCTGTTTGACAGGGAGACGACAGGTGATAAAACATCACTGATAATTCATGTTCTCCTCTTTGATGATGGGCTTCAGCTGGCTCTCCATCTCTACTGTAGTGTATGCACTAAGTCAGACAATATTGTGTCTCGGTATAAGTACTATAACTTTAAGTGAGAATTATCACAATATGATTGCAAAATTGAAATCAATCAGCTTTTGGTGCTTAAATTTTGGTTTATGTGGTTAGTTTCAAATAATACCAGCAACAGCAGGTTATTGAGACTACTAGTATATACTGTGCAGGAATGATGAATTAAGAAAGCCTATACAAACATCTACTGAAATTGTTATAAAGGTTTCTGTGTGAGAAGAAATGGCACATGTCAGTCAGCAGTCCACAGGAACCACATGGCACAGGGTCAATAGGTGGGCTGTACACTGTACACACATTGTGGGATGTGCAGCCACTCAATGATTGAGTTTTGACAAGGTCACATTTTTGTGGGCGCTTTAGCACAAGTGGGCAGGTTTTATTGGTGACAAACGGATACCACAGGAGGGGAAACAAACACTTGTGTCTCCCACTTATGCATGAAATTTAGCTGCCGCGCTTCTTGCTGGCACTAATCATGTGCACATTAGCATCAGCATTCTGTCTTCATGTGGTTTCATTTTTATGGCAGCTTTGGGAGTTGCTTTGAAATTGCTGCACCTCAGTTGGTACCTGTATTACTATATTGATCTGTGCTGAGTTACGTTCAGAACTTCAGATTCAAAGATGATTTCTCATCATCTGCCCCAGAGAAAAATATCTTCTATAATTATGTCTTTTGCCCTTGTCTTTGCCCTTAACTAATCTACTGGTATTGCGGTATACTTATATGACTCAGAATACCTTATTACTATTAGAATTGATAATTGGAATTGTGTTGTCTTGATACATCTTTATGCATATATGATAAGATATAAGAGAGCTGCCTTTATGGTTACCTGATATTAATAATCAGCAGTATACAAATGCTGTATCCTTTGGAAACATGTTTGTTCCAAGTAAGTAATAAACCAAACCAAGCAAGTAATGGATTCACAGTCACAAATGATTTCTTTGCTGGGTGTGAACATTCTACTCTGAAGAGAACCTAAAATGGCATGCCATGTCATATTACTCTTAAGGTAAATATCAAATGACTTTGCCTGTAATAGCAATCTATTCAACCTTCTTCCAACAGTAACCTTTTTCACTGTTGTGTGTGTGTGGAAATCAGATTATTCTTCATCCCACGCACAATTAGTCTCAGTTTCAGCTTTCAAAAATGGTTTATTGGTTCATCCCATAACTTCTTGTTTACAAGCTGTACAAATATTTTCTGTACTACAGAATTTGAGATACTGGTTTCTGTGAATGACAAGCATGACAATACATTATAGTCAGAAGAAAGCTGGTTTTTGAGATCTGTACTATAGATAATTATGATCATTCTGCCATAGTTTGTGTGGAAAAGAGCATCCAAACAAAGCCTGAATGCTGGGATGAAAAAGATGAGATAGTATTGCAGATTTGATTAAATTGTAATGTGAAACATGATGTCTTTTCTATAATACATAAGGGGGCTGTCGAGTGGTTGTAAAATCTCAGAGTAATTTCAGGAATGAATGTTTTATGAGAGTGATGAGCAGTTTTCTTTCAACCATTTTTAAGGTAAAGAAATTGAATGTCTGTCTTCTGAATCTTTCTAAAATTAAGTCTACCAAGTAAAATTTGTCGCGTCTCATTTGAATTTAAGATCATGAAATTAATGAATAGGCATGACACTGGAACTGACTTTTTTCGATTCAAAGACAATAGGGTAAACTATCGGGACTGTTCATGCCTAGATTGCTGCAAACCATATGTGGCAGTCTATTGTAAAAGCATCCTAATGTGTATTGCAGATTCTTGTTAGTGCTATTGATTATTCTACCAACTGCTCATCAGTCTCAACAGGAAGTTCCTCTTATAATAAAGGAGATACAAATAAGTGGCCTAGGCATGCCATTTTCAAAGGATGTAAGCTTATTGGGCTTTGGTTAGGATATTGGTTTAAACTTACATCTCGTATAAGCAGAAGACTTGTATGTACTCTAGAAAATTATCCCAGTGATATCCTTTGAGGTTTACTGTATGACTTAGGGAATCTTGTGTATCGATCCCCTCTGCCCAGATTTGCTTTGCTGTTATTGTGTTCGTGCAAGGAGGTTAATTGCAATTTATGAAAGACCATTTTGTTTTGGGCTAGAAAATTGGTAGATCAACATGATAAATGAAGGATGAACTCCCTGACCTGGCTAGGAAGGGATGAAGAATTCTGATTTACCATTTGATAGAAAACTAGCAAAAAACATGAGGACATCATGGTCTTTGCTACTGAGCAATAAAACCAGTACTAGTAGTTCACCTCCATACAGACAATGGTACCAGTATATACTATATACTTCCACATCCCCTTGAAATTGAAAGTGATGCAGGTCAAATTAAATTTTGTTTTGCATCAAATTATCCTTAACACACTGAAAAGGGATAATCTACTTTGACTACAGATTATTTGGGGCTCTTCAGGAGGTCTGAAGAATACCAGAAAATGTTCTTCAATTAGACTTTAGAGGTGAATCATTAGAAAAGCTCGTCCAATACCATTTGTCTTTTATCCATTCGCATTCTTTCTATCAGCTCCTCACCAACCAAAAATTTGCAAGCAGTTCTCTTGTGTTTCAGATGTAACGTGAACGCTGTCATCGCTACCTAACATAACATAACCGTACATCAGCCAGCATGATGCAGTAGTAGTGACTGGACACAGGAACAGGTCTGGCGGCAGCCATGGCTGCCTGGTATCTCATCTCGGAGAAACAGAGCGGCAACGGTGCCGACCAGCACAAGTACCGCCTGCGCCAGCAGATGATCTTTGTCGGCCGAGAGGACTGTGAAATGGTCTTACAGGTGGGGAGCTTGAAGAGACAAGCTAAGCTTTGTTTATGACTAAATATTTATATATATATATGATATTTCTTCCTTTGAATTTAAAAGTTTTTATAAGATACTTGCACCTTCTGTAATTATCATCCATTTTGTCTCACTTCTATGTAAACAGGGATGAAAGCTGAAACTTATGAAGGAGCATTATTTTACACTTCTTAACTATATCAAATCTTTAATACAGATTGACCTTTGATCTTAGGTGTCTTACATTGTTGTAGAAGGGTAAAAACCCCATTGAACCACTCAATGCCCCTTCTCTACAGGTTAGGAGGTCAATTACCATGCTGAAAGATCTTTTGTTTGTTTTATTTTGAGTAGTCTTTTAATTATACCTCATGATTTCATATACACGGTTTATTATTACAGTAACTTAAATGAACGGTATTCAGTACTGAAAGCAAGAACAGTGATCAACTTACCTGCTTAATGTTTTGATATCCACAAAAATTTGATGTGTACAAGAAATTAGTATTGGTATTCTTGAGGTGCAGATTTTTTATTCTAGTCTCTAATAATAATGATACTGCTTTTGTCACCAACATGTTTCACCTGGTAGACAGGTGAATTATGAGACTGTATTGTACGTGTGCAGGTGTGTATTTAATTTTATCACTAAGGCCACACCAATTTATTTCCTTGGTTAACGGATTCGCCGCTTCGTTTTTTTGCCAAAATGAAATAAAAATAAAAACAGAACAAAAATCCATACTCTCGGGTCCCGAATTGGGGCCCCAAAATCCAGTCGCCGTACGTTGTAATTTTTCAAAATTTGGGCATAGTTAACAGCGTTAAAAATACATTGCTTCACGGCAGAAACATTTTTCTGAGTGCAATTTGTTCGGAAAGCTAGGTCGCCTCTTCAAAAGTTCGTCAAAAAAATTATTTTGATATAGAACTCGCCCCCCACCCCCTTTGCACATGTCACCATTCATGGGACAAAACTTCACTGACGACAGTCAAACGTACGGCAGATTTATTAAGTCATCGTGTCTGTAACAACATATCATCTCCCTTTTAGATATACATGTATATTATATTTCATTTAGAAACACGTATTGTGTCGGAAACATGTGCTAGTAACGGGCGTTAAAAGTAATCGGCCGAACGAATAAACTCGGCCTGGGCGGCACATGCACACACACCATCAAAACGATCTTTTTTCCAGGGAATATGTAAAAATAACACGACATAACAATGTATTCTGGCATCACAAACTGTATTACTCTCAAAAAGTATAAAATCCTACCACAAACATGGGAATTGGGCAAAGTAAAAAGTCCTCCATGAACGTAAGTCCATTCACTAAAGCAACTTTCTCATGGTCGGAAGAGTCCACTTCGAGTAGGGGGAAACAGTTTCTTTGGATTATAGAAATTACTCTGTGAAAAATACTACATGTGCATGTGGCATTCTAACAAAGTTACATCTTATTTAGATACCTATAAATAGGAGTAAGATTGCAAATAAAGTATGAATTATTACATCTAAATTTTTAATAAAATGGTTCCCCCTACAAATAAAAATCCCCATACATCAAAGACTTTATAGTGAAACCCTAGACCATTGAATTTGTGGCAACTTGAAGAGTGTGTCAATGTGGCTATTTGTTTGAATTATGGCTATGTATAATGTAGCTGTAGCATACCTAAAGTGTATAATGGGAAATATAAAATGTATACTACCGGTAGTATTAGGGAATTGGGGAAAGATAAAAAAGAAATAAAATATCTGTAAAAGTAGTTAATTCTTTTGCCAATAACTTTTACACATTCCTGGAAATTTGTCTAAAGCATATATTTAGGATATTGTAAATTTCAAGCTCTAAATAACTTCCATATCAGCCAGACACAATAGAATGCCCAGCCCAGCTGTGTGCCCTGAACTAAGAAAACAATGGGATCTGAACAGAGCACCCTGATTTAAACCACTCTTTGGAACTTTGAAAGATGAATAAAAGTGAAACCAATTGGATGGGAGTCTTGTCAACTGACATGTTGTTCATGCAGTAAAGATGTGTATCATGCAAAATAATACGAATAATTGTAAAGGGATGTAAGAGAAGTGCTCATGTACATGTAGTAATGGTCCTTTCAGTTCAATTTAAGTGTCTAATATAATGTCTTATATCATTTTGTAACTTAACTTAATGGATTGCTTACTACATGGCTGTATGGCAGGTGGTCTCAAATTTTTATTTTTATTTTTTTTTCGCCCGCCCGCTCCATTTTTTTTCTAGCAAAATCCGTTAACCAAGAAATTAAATTGGTGTGGCCTAAGTACACATTTGGCACAATGGATGGAGGCGAGGCTTTTCCACTATTCTGAAATGTTGGTTTTGCACAGACCATATGAATGTAGTACAACCATTCTGTGCTGTTCCTATAACATCCTTGCTATATCTGCAGGTATAGGTTTTCTGTATATCTATTATAGAGAGTTACATGCATTTTGTGTTTTAAGATCAATACCTGAAGGTACAAAAAGTAACCAGAATATTGGAAAAAGCTATTACTATTAGCCTGGGCTGTTCGTGTAGTATTGCCAAACACAGCAATCCCTGATGAAAACACAGGTCTATTTACCCTGACGTTAATCCTTATAAATCTGCTAATCAGTCGGCCAACAGAGAAGCAGACCATTGTGTTTTAAAAACTCTTGTTGGTTTCTATGTGAGCCCGACTGAGGCACCAGCACTTTGTATGGGCCCAGCATTTAACCAGTTGTCTTATTGTCATGACAACTACAAGGCGACACCCTCCTAGCAGGTGTTACATGCACAGCAGCTCACCTGACTAGCTGTGATTTCACAGTTGACTGGATTACATACATGATTGTCTGCCTTTGTTCAAGTCAAAGTGGCCTAAGCAAAGTTTAAATGCAGTTTGGATGCAGTTTAAGTGAGTAAGCTCACGGAAGGGATATTTTGGAAATTGGGGAAACATGTTTTGAGCACAACCAGTTTTTCTCCACTGTTTGACAGGACATTTCCAGTGAGAAGTGTGTTAATTATGGGTATATCTGAGGTGATAAATACAGTTAACGATTGTTTGCTTAAGATAAGCAGCCATGTAATTTAAGGCTCTGTGAACATGGTGTTGTAATGTTGTTACATGTGTTTGGTTCAACAGTCACGATCGGTGGACAAACAGCATGCTGTCATCAAGTATGACTTGGCAGAAGACGTCTACAAAGTGAAAGACCTTGGCAGTCTAAATGGGGTAAGAAGTAAATATAGTGTATGATTGTTGTCTTACCTCTGGTATACTAGTATGCAACCACCTGTTCTGTATAGAAAATCCATTAGAAAAGATAAATGTTGTACTGATACTGATACTGACTGGGCTTCTGTAGCCCAAGCTTTATGTAATTATGGTATGTTGCATTCTTGGCTGACTATGTACTGTGTTGTGCAGTACAGTGTATGTTAGTCCATGTAAACAAGGCCATGCCCTGCAGCAACCTCCTGATGAACTGGAGGTTAAGACTTGTTTGCTTTTGTTGACTTGGGTCAAGAAAACGTTAAGTTTGTTCTCAGTATTCTTTTGTCACTGCATGTCAGGAAAGCCTTGTTTTTTAAAGAATAGACTTACCCTAATGGCTCAAGAGAAGCTGGGCATTACCACAGTTAGTGCTTCTTGAGGCATGATTTGCTACATTTGGTTCGACAGTGAAATATGTAGAGCAGTTGTCACTATCTCGTGTGTGCTGTCCTGTCTCACAGGCAACTGTTAAGAAAAGCTTAAACATCCTTTTCAAACAGAATTTGTGTATTGTTGTTGTTGACACTTAAAGTCACAGGTTACATTTGCATGTGTGAACGGTTTGTCATCAACATTTAACATGAAGATGTAGGTGTTGGCACACAACCACGCAAGTTGTGCCATAGTAGGTTGGATTCCTCAGGGTGAACAACAAATTCTTTAGATGTTTATATTAAATTCTAAATTTTTTTTTACAGACTTTTCTAAATGAAACTCGCATCCCAGAGGAGACCTACGTCACATTACACAAGAAGGACACCCTTCGATTTGGTTATGATATCCTTTTACGTGTACTTATGAAATGGTTATATACTGTGTAGCTTCCAGTGTTAGTAGGTTGTTTTGGAAGAGCAAGACTGCCTAATATATTATGAGATTACAGTTTGAAAGTCTTTGATACATGTATATTGAAAGTCTGTGATAGCACATGTTTGTTCTTTGTTGGCTTCTTTCCTTGACTATTTGCACATCACCACGTTTTTAGAATTGAACATTTAGAAGATAAGGGAGAGCCATGGGAGCTGAAACAGGTGATATGGCTGTTCTTTCATCTAGTATATAATAGCTCGGACTTTGTGGCCTCTATATTTAAAAGGATGGCTATATGCTACAGGGGGATACATTATAATCCTTGGTTATTTTGTTTTCAAATGAAGACTTCAAATATCCCTGGTATACATGATTTAATAATTACATGTAACACTGGGAGCACGGAAGTGTCTCTGAAAATCATGTTTTGAAGAATGCGAAAACTGAAAATTGAAGAAGGCATAAACTGTCTTGTATACTCTGTGACTTTCTGTCCCACTTGTTATTTTGAAGATTTATCAAGCCTGTTGTTCTCTCCTCTTCCTGTCTGTCTGGTCCCCATGTGTTGACCTCTACCCCTCCCGACCTCTCTCTGCATGTCCTGTGTATAGTTGAAGTCAGAGCTAGTAGCTCGGCGCTTGAAAGGTCGCAGGTCGTATAGCCCTCCTTTCTACCATGCTCACTGTGAGGTAGGGAACTCTGCTTACTCTCTGTGTTCTGGACATTTCAGCCATTCCACCGGGTTTGTAAGTGTTGTCCCACTACATCTCAAGTGCATGTTTGTTACTGTCTTCCTTTTGCACTGTCTCTTTCTATGTTTTCAGTTCCATTTTGTCATCTTGCCACTTTATGTATGTGTTATGGCATGTGATATGTAATGTATTTCATCTAGACTCTTAAAATAACAAGGGCATATAATAGAACTTAGGATCATTAGGAAAGTAAGAATCATTAGGAAAGTAATAATTAGTGTCCAATGATTTTTCATTTATGAAGAACCAAGAACTCATGATTTGTGTCACAGTATGTTTTTCTGTGGTAAGTTTATTGCTGAGAGGATAGAGGATTTTTCTGTATCAAAAGTCAAGACAGGAAGTTACAAGTGAGAGATTAAGGAAAAGATGGCTATTCTATTTTGATCTTCTTACATGCATTATCGTACACTAATTTTTTTTTTAAGTATCTGTTCTGAGTAAGCTTGATGAATTGTGTTGTGTTGCAGACATGTGGACATGAGGTGTACCAGCCCCATGACTCGTACGCCCGTCCTCGTGACAGCGCCTCGCCAGCCTACGAGCAGAAGGACCAATCAGCAAAGGTGCCTCCTCAGAACGGGTCAAGGGTCAGGGACATGAGGAGAAGCCCAGTGTCATCAGGTTTGTGTTGATGTGGGAAAAGGATCATGGAGTGTTTCAGTACACACACAGTCTCCCTTCAGGGAAAACAGCAGCACCAGGGCCGTCCATTCCATACCTTACATTCTTACCTTTCTTACCATTGTACCATCTTCAATGACGCTATCACTCTGGGTGCACTATTAATGCAAAGGTAACATCATATACTGACAAGGGTTTTTAGCATTCTTCTTAACCTGTTACAGCTAAATGCTTCTTCGGTAAAACTGCCAATAGATACAGCACTATACTAGTGCTCAACCCTATACCAAGATATGTATATCATAAGCTTCCATAGAATCATGCATCATACCAGTTAACATGCACCCTACCATTAAGCCATGAACCTCATTTCTGGCATATAGCATCACTGATCCGCTCTTCTCATCACTCCTTCCCCTTCCTGGAACTCTCTCTCTCTCTCCTTCCCTCCATCCAAGTGGACATTGGGATACAGACCGATGAAGAGTGTGTTTCCCAAGCAGAGGACAGCGTGTCCGAGGCGGGCGCTGCGCCCCACGCGGCGGAGAGGACCCGCACTCACGGTCACACGCAAAACCCCCCACCTGCCGTTCAGTCCCCCGAGGTGGAATCACCCCTGAAAAGTGAAAGTACCCAGCCTGAGAGTGAAAGCTCTCGGGTTCAGGAGACCACTGACGTCCCCCCTGTCTCTTACTAGTGAAAGTACGGGAACGCCATCAGGTATCCCCTCCCTAACTCCTTCCCTCATTCTGTCATTCCATGCATGGTTGTAGGTACATTCTTGTTGCATATTTGCTGCACAAGACCAGGTGTGTCCCTCCATCATTTTGCCTATGCCATGACAGCATACAATGTGCAATATGTCTATGGTAGTTAGCTATAGGACAGTTGCAAATGGTCAGGGAAAATTCTGGGAATGAAGATCCGTGCATGTGTGTTAGGAACGTAACAGTGGCTTGCATATTATGTTTCATAGCACTTCAAGTCACTATAAACAAGAACACTGCATTCTTGTAATGTGCATGCCCAGCTCAGGTCTTGTACCACATGAATGCACAAAAACAGGTTTTCAATATCGTGTTGCTTTGTTTACCTATTCTGTTCTGTTTCATTCTGTTCTTTTGAGGACGTTTCTGTATGTGTACCTGTCCCCATCTGTGTACCATGTCCCCACTTCTCCCAGCCACAGTTCACAGCATGCCTATATACTTTTCTAGACTTCATGCCTTGTTTTGCAGACCTGACTCCCCACGCCAAGCGTGGCACCCCCCTGTACGGACAGCCCCAGTGGTGGGGAGAGACGGAGGAGGGGGTGGGGTCAGGCCCTAAGGTCAATGGAAGGGGGCACAAAGACCTGCCTGTTAGAGAAGGTAGCCGTTTCACATCACCTTCCCTCCCTTCATGTCCTCCAACTAACTCGTCTGTCTTGCATGACCATCTAGGGTTGGTAAAGAATGAGGTGCCATTTTCAGTCACCAGGTAAAGATGGTATATCCCAGGGAAGGTCTGTACTTTCAGGTACAAATAGGCAGTAATGTCACCAGGACCTGTGTAGGTTTGGGATAGATGTTTGTTAAAAGTCTTACTTTTTGGTCAGCATCTGCACCAGGTGTTAAAAGTGGGTGCCTGTTTCTCTGTATCAGTCAGCCCTCTATGGTAGCATGGATACATGACTGCTATACAGTACAATATGTTTACAGACAAGTCAGTGAACATCTTAAGCATACCAGAAAAGGGAGTTGGTTATTGTGAAGGATTACTGGTGCATGGGTTAAAGGTGTTTCTTTCATACACCATCTTGTATCTCTGTCACCTGCAGGCAACGGTGACGGCAGAGCGGGCCCTCCTCCAGCCGGCTCCACCAACCTGAGAAGGGAGCAGAAGGAGCGAGATGCGGTCCTGGAGCGGATGGATGAGACCAGGAGGGAACACAAGTACTTTGAGATTCCTGCCACAGACTTCCAGCAGACGGACATCTCTCCGATGAACCCGTCCAGTAAAGACATGTCGGAACTGAAGAAGAAGGACTCTCACCTCTGCTTCACCGTGAACCTGGACGACACGTCGCCCTTGAAGCTGAGCGTTGGCGACAGTGTGAGCAAGTTTGCGCCCTCCCACCGGCAGCAGAGGAAGGAGAGGACGGAAGGGGTGGGGGCAGACGAGACCTTGTCCTCCCCCAGGGGCATGCACCGCAGGAGGAGGTCAGAACATCTGGAGGTTAGTATGTCCTGGAAAAGTTTACAGTTGTTCATCATTATTTTTTAAGCTAAATGGTTATCTTTGGTACATTTATCACAAGGTAAATGTCTACAAGGGCACTCAGATGTTTTTATGCCTTGATATATCCCATAGAAATGCAGCCTGTAGAAAATTATGCTGGTTTCATATTACATGTACCTGATTTCTGTATGGTGTCGTTTCCCCAGACTGAGCGTGAAGGCAGTCGACAGGTGGAGATCATGTTCAGTGGGTCCTGGAGACGAGGCCCAGCAGGCCAGAGTGATGTTACTGATGATGACAGTGTGCACAGCGACATGCCAGTGTCCAGTAGGAGCAAAACAGGTTGACACACTTCACTTGTCTGTGTTAGTCATTACAGATTTGTCAAATTTTACAGATAAACTGTAAGGGCATGGACACAACACCATTAAGATTAGACTGCAAAAATGTTTCTGTCTGTCGTTTTCTGCAGATGTAGTTTTGTAATGTAGATGTAATGTGTAGACTCACATTCATGCCAGGGTTTATATTTAGTTACCTTAATCTAATCCTACTGTATGAATGTCTGCCACTAAACATTAGGAAGCCAACACCTGGATGGAACCAGAAGTGAGTCGGAGACTGAGTCCAGACATCCTCACCTCCATGGCCGGGTCAGGCCGGAGGAGCAGCGCAGTCAGCAGGAGATGTCCCCCCTGGCTCAGGCCGACCTCCATCGCAGGAAGAAGATGACCCCTGAGGACATGCTGCTGGACCAACGCTCCTTCACGGTAGACTTCTACGACAGGAAGACTCCTCCCAAGACAAAATACCCCGACTCACTGAAGGAGAAAAAAGTTGGAGTTCGAGGAAGTGTTGAGAAGGTGCAGACAAGGAAAGGCACGGAAGGGGCGTCCCCACAGCAGGGTAAGGCAGAGGCAGGAGAGAAGGACACAGGGTCACGTCCGTCCAGCGGGAAGAAGAGACAGAGTAAGGAGGACGCCCAGGCTCACCCTGTGGACCCTGACAAGGATGTGTGTGAGGAGGACAAGTAAGTACAAGTATGACCTAAACATGTAATCTGAGTGTTCCATAATTTCAGCCAATCCAATGAAAAAAATCACCAGTCTTGTAGTTACAAAACCATTGTTCGTTTCTCTTTACATTGTTCCCAAATCATTTCATCACCAATTTTATGTCCTAAAGCTATTTTATACCTTACTCCACAGAACCAGTGATGCAGGCACATATACTATAGAACTAGATGAACCTAACCCTGAAGTGGAAGAAGCCAGAAGAAAAATAGACGAGGTGTTTGGAGTCACTGAGGCTGGGGAGCCACAGAAAGCAGCAAAGGTCAGTTGGTTATGGATTTGCTTCAAATTTATGGTGCTTTGACTCTCCCACTGTTGTAGGCAATCAGGACCAGGCTTTGTAATCAGCCCATGACTTTATAGAAGGTTTGAAGCAATGCATTAAATTTTTAAGATCAGGAAAGGCATGCATGAGTATAACCTCTCGATGAATGAGGAAGGAAGGCCAGTGATGGGTATTCAGACTTAAGTGGAAAATGGTATTCCCATTCATTTCAAATTTATTTCAGCTATCCATAGTCTAGACATGATCAATACTGACTTCAGTAGCCTAAGAGAAGACTGAAAAGATGGTACATACTGCATTATCTGGTTAGCACTCAGCACTTACGAGAAAGAGTCGAACAAATCCCCATTATAGTGGCCTATATGGCCCAAGGGAAATGGAAATGATCACCACCACTTATACACAGAAAGGCATGGGAAATGATACTGTTAGGGAGGCCATGACAGTAATCATCAGAACATATTTACATAATGTGTATGTTTATCTGTTTGTTGTGGAATACTGTAATTCACTTTATGTTCACGGTAGCAAAATTTCACGGTCTGAGAAAAATGGACATGTTCACGGAACTATATGTTCACGGTGGTGACAAGTGCAGGAAAAAGAAAGTCCAGGAATTATTTGTTAACTGTAATGATAAGTTCACTATACACAAGAGACAGTGAAAACAGTGAACTTATCAGTACAGTGAACAAATCAGGAATTACAGTATATGTCATGATACCTCCCTGTGTGTTATGTTTAGGACGTGGAGTCTCCCACAGAGCCTGGCATCCAGGGACCAGGTGTGGAGAACCAGGTAGGCCAGGCAGAGGGAACTGTCATGCTGTCTGTCAACACCTTCAGTTTGTTCCCCTTGGTTCTTAGAACCCCCTTCATCTTTTCTGACTCTTTTCTTGCAATTGTTTGTGATTCCTCTTGTAGTAGGGACAGTCCACTATCCTCCAATGACAGCTTTTCAAGGCAAAAGTTGCTTTTTGTAGACTAACAATCTAGTAGAACTGTTAACAGATGTTACATGTACATCTGAGAGCTTAACATGCTTTGTTATCCATGAAGGCTTTTTTTGACTGCCTCATCACTGCCTGTCTTTACCTCTCTCTCTCCTCTGTGCTTGGTCTCTGAGCATCCAAAGACTGTCAGAGACACCATGCAGCAAACAGGGGCCTGCTGCCCCCCTCCCCCATTTCATTCATCCGTTTGTGCAACCCGCCTTGTGTTAGTTTATGTTCAGCCAGCTGCCGCATCGCTCTGCTTGCTCCAGCCGCATACATCCATGTACACATCCACCATGTCCACTCTTCAGTTTTTAGAACACATTTTCCGTGGAAATGTTTCTGTACTTTGTGCCCCTGGTGGCTGTTCTGTGACTTTTGGACTCTCTGCTTTTACTGTCCAGGCTGACCACCCGGCCTCGGCCGAGGCGGAGTCAGGTGGTTTCGGTCAGGTGGAGGTGATTTTCACGGGCTCCTGGAAGCGAGCCAGCCAGCAGCCCAAGGTCCTCACGTTTTTTTGTTTTCAGCAGTTTTTCGGTTTTCCATCTCCACGGCCTGTGTGCACCACCCTCCAGTATGGTTTGACCTGCATGCAGGAGGCCTGCCATCTGTGTATAGAGTAAAGCACAACTCTACCGTAAAGGTTTACTTGAGACTCCCCCCTTCATCCCACTTTGCCCCATACTTCTACCCCCTATTGGATACCAGAACAGCAATGTTTCATTTCAAGAGCTAGGATGCCGCTCAGTAATTGATTCATTTGTTTGTTTGTTTGTCATCAAAAGTGGAAAAACCTGTTTTAAATGCTGCTGCTGAGCTGTAAGAGATTATAGTGATACATGTACTATTTAAGTAATCCCCTAGACACCCCATGCCCCATTTAAGGTAGAGGTGCTGATTTTGGAAACATTCCATTGTGTTACTCGTAATGTCATGTGACCTGCATATGATCAGTTTTGCTTGTCCAGCCTTTAAAATAGGTTGGTTTGTTTTCCTATGCTTCAAGGCTTTCAGACAGTTTTTGAGGTTTTCCTAATTTTGAAATTTTGTTGTGTTTTGCATGGCATGATGACCTAGTACCTAGGAAACAGTGAAATGTTTGGTTGATAATGCTTGATCTGTTGAGTTTGTTTTCTCATATGTGCATGGTGGTTGATGTGTCTTCTTTCAAGAGTTGATTTCTATCACAATATATTTACTGTTGTTCACATTATGTTCTGTTTTCACCATTCTGGATGATACTTTTCTGATGATAACATCTTCTTACCACAAGGTATGATGTTTCCCTTCCTTTCCTTTTCATTTGTTCCATTTCTCCCTTTCTTCCCCGTCAAATCCCTCATTCAAAATGTAGTGTCGTTTTATGTATCATTTCATCTATACCCAGTGAAAGGGTTTCATAAAGCTATTCTTTTTAATGGCAGTAAAAAATCCCTATACCGGTAGCTTTCATGTGATAATTCGAAATCATGTATTTGCCTTGTCTAATGATAGAAATTTAAAATGAAAGTTGACCAGCGCTCATACTATAACAAGTCCTTTTCACTCCAAACCATAGTGAATGAATATCTAGAAGACTTGTCCATCATGCTCATTGGCCTGAAACTGTCAATGAATCGATAAATATCTAAAGAATCTTTCTCAAAACTTTTTTGAAAACCATTTTTAGAATAGGGTAGCATCAACAGCATTGTGTTACAAATTTAAGCATCCATGATCAATAAATTCTGTATGAAGCAAAACTGTCAAATTAAAGGGCAGTGAAAGCTCTCTATTTCATTCTATGATGTGGCTAGCTTGTCCTATTTTTTTCACGTATTATCCCCTTCCCTTCCTCCCCTACAGCAGCGTCCTGTTGGTCCAATCCCCCCAAGTGCTCCTAGCTGGGTCCACCAGTGGGTCAGTGCAGACCAAACCACTTCTCCGTCAGCTGAGGGGGAGCAGGCTGGAATGCCACCGGCCCCTGCACTAGTTGTCACTGACAGAGGTTAGGGGAATGTTTGTTATAGCTTCCACTTACCTTTCTAATGAGGTTGTTCTGCAGGTTGTATCTTGACAGACAGGCTTTAAGGCCACAGTAATAGTCTATACTGTATTCTAAATGTGTGTGCATTGTTGTTTGTGCCACAGATGTACTTGGAATGGACCATCAGAAGCCGGCTATGCCAAGAAGAAAGCTCTCGGATGCTTCATCCCAGGAGTCCCCAAAGACTGGCAGGAAGCGCAGAACTCTCCCCGCCATCCCTAAGGACAAATCCTCTTCTCAGCCGTCCAGCCGAACCACCACCCCGCCTGTAGAGAAGTCCACGTACCCGCCTGGGTCTGCTGTGTCAGAAGAGTCTCGGCACAGGGAGAGGGCATCAGAACTGCTGGAGGGGGAGAGAAGAATACGGAGGGGGAGTTTTACCTTGGATGAGGACACGCCAAGCATTCTTAAGGAACTGCAGCCTTCAGCAGATGACACGATGAAGGTTTTAGATGCAGCCAGCGATGTTAGTTTAGACACAGCAGTGTTGCTGAAGGACACTGACAGTGTTATAGCTGCATTGGAGTCTAGAGTAAAAGCCAGACACGCTGAGGCTCAGAGTCAGTTAGAGGGGAGCAGAAGGTCCCCTGTTGGACACGTGGGCAGGGGTCGGGAGTCCTCGGGAGACTCTGACATGGACACAGTCAGCACCACTAGTGTGGCAGACGGAGACGTTGGGGTGATGAAGTCTAAGTCTGCCTCCAGACGAAGTCTCAGCTCTCAGCACTGGGAACGCAGTCACGATGGAGACAAACTTAGAGACACGTCAGCAAAACAGAGGCTGAGAGAGTCGAGACGGTCTGACCCATACGGGGACAGGTCATCCACCATTTCTGATGTTCTGTCATCATCAGATGCAGACACTCAAGTTGGACGGAGTGGTATCACTGAGAAGGGCGGGGGAACAGCTTTTCACATCGAGTTTTCTGCCGGGTCGCCAGAATTTTCCAGGGGCACTCCAACCAGAAGGAGCCTTGGGAGAGGAGAGAAGAAATCCAGGCCAACAGACTTACAGAAATCTGCTTCCATGGAGGTGAACAAGTCCGGTACATTCCCCAAGCCTAGACCAACCCGAGCGTCGCTCCTCCGGCGCAACCGTTTGGAGAGCGACTCGGCCAGGAGTGGACCCGACAGTTCCGGGGAGCTGGAGGATTACCCAGAAACCCCGTCTGAAGCCAGCACTGCGTCGACATCCAGCACGTCGTCCCGCCCCAGACCCAGCAGCGCCAAGTCCTCCCGCGAGATGGAGATGCAGGCGCGGCTCGACAGACTGTCCAAGCCTCGCGCCGGCAGGTTGAAGGACCCTCCCAAGAGCGACAGGAGCGACCTGAGTTTAGGGGGACAGATCGTTAAAGCTGCCCGAGCGGGTTCAGGTCAGCCCAAGCAGGGGTCCGTCCGAGCCAGCCCACAGGCTAAGACGAGAACAGCCTCGGGACAGGGTCACAGCAGGTCTAAATCTATCTCCTCCACGGAGAAGGGCAGCGGGTCGGGTGTGTGGAGACGGAAGTCTGAGGCAGCGGAGGCTTCAGGAGGCAGTGTCTGGAGAAGAAGGAAGGACAACTGGGAAGACCATGGCTCGCGGTCATCCACTGAGTCAGCGGGAGACACGACAGACAGGTCAGAGAGCAGGGTGAAGCGGTCTAAGTCGTTTGGTGATAGTGCACGGGCGCTTAGACGGGGTGACAGAAAAAAGTCCACCTCAAACGAAGGCTTGCACAAGTGAGTTTGCTTTGCATTTTACAATATTATGCACACAAAAAATGATATGACAGTCTACAGTTTTAAAGATGTATATCAAGATTAGAACGATTATCCTACAGTATGAAAACTTACTACCGGTAAGTTGCTGCTATGTGACATGATTTACTGCTGAAGTGAAGCATGAAATGTAATGCTGGTGAACCTTTATCAATTAGTTGTAACACTTCACTGACATCTTTCTCATCTACTAAAGATTGTTGTTGTATGATGCTATTTGCTCTACTCTGCTTCAGTGTATGTTTTTCTTGTAACGGATTTACAAATACCTTAACAGTAAAAGTTGCTTTGAATAACCAAACGAATTGCTACGTACCACTACTAATAAAGTGTCTGCAACTTGCCAGATTCCTTCATCTGCACATTTGAAATCTGCTACTCTTTGCCTTTTGGTTGTGTCTAAAGAAGTTTACCTTCATATAAAGGCTAACCTGATAAAGCTTAATAAACGGTGGTTCAAATACTTTGACCAAAGGAATCCTCTGCCAACAGGTCCAGGAAAGGCTACGCCACCACTCCTGAGCCTGGCCGATCCACAACTGATGAGATCTCTCGGCTGAGTCAGCAGCTGGCCGCAGACCTGGCCATCCTGGCCCAGGGGACCGAGTCGGACGATGGGGCCAAACACGTACCCAAGAAGAGAATGGACAGCAAAGAGAAGGTGAGTTGATGACGATGTCACCATAGAGTACTACAGAGATATGGATGATTTTTACTCGCATCAGTCTGTCTAACACTGTGTGAAAGGACAGTTTTGTTCCCTGGGACAGCTGAGTTCCTGCTCATTGTTCTTGATACTTGTAAGACCAAATTTCTCTGCAGCCACCGATGTGATGGCCCAGAAAATTTAGAAGAACAAAATCTTTGTGAGATTTATTCCTTTCCAAATTGATTGTAATAATCCGGAACGGCATTATATTGTTTTGAAATTGAAGATAGATGTGAAATTGAAAAGAAATACCAAGTTTCTCTTCTATCTCTCTTTCTCTGTCTCCTTTTCCAGCTGTCTCCTGCAATATAGGATAGGATAAAACATAGCTGTAGTCATAGCAGAATTAAAGCCTGCTCAACTCAGTTCTTTTCTCTGCTCAGTTTTTTTATCCTGAGAACCTTGTGTCATTTTTCCTGCTCTTATCAAAGACACATACCGGTACATATTCCTGTTTCCTTCTCGCTGCCTTTGACGTGACTTCTGTTGACCTTGTTTTTTTGTATTCATTTCTGCTTTTCCTTTGCTGTCCACTTCCTGTCATCATACTGTGTCTCGCATCGCTCAGCCGAAATATGCCACCCTCCCGCGGGCAGCAAAAGCCAGTAAAGCAGCTAAACACCTCACAGGAGTACGGAAACCTAAGAAAGAGGTGTGTAAAATGTCCCCATGGTAATGACTCTCTTTATGTTGAAGAAACAAGTGTTTTGTTGATGAAGTCAAACCTGTCTATGGTGCCCACGCAAGCAACTTGAAGGAAATTGGTGACCACTACAGACAGGATTTATAATGCCTAGGTCAATGGGAACAATAATCTAAAGGGCCAAAAGAAGGCACAATGGCCAGTTGGTCCTCATCAGGGTTGGTCACTGGTACAGGTTTGACTGATGTATATTGAAGTGCTGTAACCTGTGAATTATCATTGTTCATGCGAGAACATTGTCTAATGTGTCTTGGAGTTGAAACAATTTTTATTGGACTTGCTCACAATAATGACATCGGAGATGTGCTGGGTACACGCCTTCCCTCTACCCACTGCCTTTCCTCCACGTGCAGATCCCTTTCCGTTGACATACTTTGTATTTTGTATTCTGTTGCAGTTGCACATGGATTCAAAGGGTTCAAAGGTTAGCATTCTACGATTAGATGGCCGTTAATATGCACTACAGCCTCAGAATGGTAATGTAATTGGAGTAAAGGTGGAACTGTGTCATAATACTTTAGAAGTACAGCCTGCATGTTATGAAATGTGATTTGAGAGAAAGTTTCATCCTCAGTTATAACTATAAGACCTGTTTTTCACTGTCCTGTAACTCCAACTATAGTAGATAATGTAAAGGACGAGGATTAAGCAATATTTATCCTGTTCCTGCTCATACTTGTAATTGATGTAGATTTTTGATTAGCATTGAACATCCTGTGTGCCATGTCTGAATGCCCACTGCTTACTGTCATTTTAAGGGTCAAGTATAGAATTACTGTATGCTCCCAGAAAGAATTACATTTGCACTGATTCACACCAACTCCCAGAGGTATCGTGCATTGATAGAAATAGTGAGGTCACTCTGACGTACATGCTTTCAGTGGAGCCCATAATCTGATATTCCTCTCTGTAATTGAGACACTGTCTGGCCTGAAATCTAATTGGGGCATTTCAAATTTGATTGGTGTGTCTTGGTCTGCAAGGGGAAAATTTCAGTTAACATGTTCCATTTGACTTTGCTGTGAAGTAGACAGATAAAAAACTTTCAACACAAGAAAAATTGGACTAAGCCTAATTTTCAACTGGACATCACTGTTCTTAACAGCCTGCCTATCTGTTGGCAAGTTTGTGTGTTGGAAGTTTGTTACTACCGGTATGTAGAAAACAGTATGTCTTTGATACTGGCCCATCAATTATGATGTAGCATCCTTTTAAAGTCAGCAAGAAAACGTGGGGCCCAGGAGCTTGGACAGGGTGACCCCTTACATTGACAGTACATCACAAACTGCAGTATGTAATGGATCGGAGATAACATTGTCTGTGCTAGTATTGAAAGATAACTTTATCTCTGTGTTGTTCCAGCAGTTGGTAGAGAGGATCTTTGAAGACAGCATGTCTAAACAGCCCAAGTCTGGAGGGGGACCCAGAGGAGGTCAGTGCACCTGGATTTCAAAAATTTACCAGCTTTCTGGCATTATTTATATTATCCCAGGTTGAAGTTGGAAGGATAAGATAGCAAAGAAACCCAGAAATTGTTTTCTTTGAAAGGATTATTTTATCTTTGTTTGGGAAGATCTTAGATTTAGAGCATGTTAAATTCTGATACATTTGTACTCTAAATAATGCAAAAGTACAAAGATGGAAGTACAGCGTTACTTAGTTAGTTACTGCTGCATTATGAGCAGTTTTACAGTAATAGAATATGAGATAGTGATGTCAGTGCTGTGGTAGAGGTTGAGTTGAATTGCCATCCTTTGATTGAACATGTATATCTTCAAACTACAGGGTCTGACAGAGAAAAGGAGAGTCCAACCTCAAGTAAACGACGGCAGTGGAGGAAAGAAGAGGTTTGCTACCCTCTTCATCACCAGCTCTTTCATCTTCAAAACATGCATGTTTACACACGGAGTTACAAATTGTACATGTACTAGTACACTTTTCTTTTCCATTGTATATAATTATTATTTCAGTGCTCAGTTTATGTTTTCTTCCTGCAGCCACTGGACAATCTGGTCATCACCTCTGTCCACCGGCTTTCACAGAAGATCAAGCTCACCATTGACAGGACCGTGGCTAAAGCAAAGTCAGTCACATCTTCAAACCTCTTGTCTAGTCATATGGCAACTTACAAACAGAGGATTGTGTACATGTACAAATGTATCTGACAGGATGTTTTGATTATGGTCAAGTATGTTTAGTATTTAAAAAGGAAGGTAGATCTAGTAGATTCCTGGTAGATTTTGTTTCTGGTTGTAGTTTGTTGGATTGTTGGATAGATGTCAGTTGTGTTTGATTAAACATACTTGTGGGTTTGTTTTTTTGTTAGACATGTGTACGGACCTGATCAGCCCCTTCCTGATGTGAAGTCTAGAGATGATGGTGACCTCCCAATGCTGAAGTCTTCCAATCAGGTGAGTCAGTCTGCTGGAGGTAGCCTTCAGTAGTCGTTAGAAAGATTTTCAGCACATTTCTGCTTCTAATGGCCACTCGTCTGGGACCCTATTGCATCTGAAATTTGCAAATACCTTTCTTGAAATACATGTATGTTCAATATTGAAGGTAGGAAAAGTGAATATAGGAGTTAATCTAACAAATTGAATGTGTATCTCTGTATATAAAGCTCTCAAAGGTTAACAAGCTCTTTACATGTCACCACAGGAGATTGCAGCCATTCTTGGTAACTTGAGAAGAGTAGAAAGGCAGATAGAAGGTGAGTTATCTTCACTTAGCCTGTATCTTGTTGTTTTATTATTTGATTAACGTTTAGCCACTAAGGCAGCTGTAGGGCAGTAAAGTTGTATTGGATACCAGATAAGGTAACGGGAAGAGGTTAAACTCTTGAGTTGACCTATGACATGTTGTTGCCCAGTTCTGGACCGGTTGATCGACCCTGATGACCAGATCCCGGTGGACAGTACGGAGGACGACTCCAGCTCCACCCTAGTGGGTCCCCCTGCCTCCACCCCCTCCTCCACCGGCCACAGGACCCCCGTCTCCGAGTACGAGCAGAAGACACGATCCTGGCAGGCCGCCGACCGCTCGCTGTCGGAACAGTCTGAGGGGATGGACTCGGAGGACGGGGAGTTCGACATTCACTTCAACAGGTTCAACCCGTCAGGAGACGAGGACTACTCCACCATGGAATAAGTTCACTGATTCTAATCTAAACCAGCCATGTTGCAGGAATGGGAAACAGACTTGTTTTATTTGGAAGAAATCTTGCCCATATTGAACCCTTACCTGACAGTCTACGGGTGCGTGTTCGCTTTAGAGATGTGATGCAAATGATTCACAGCTGAATTTTGTCCAAGGCATTGTATCATACCTGCAAGTTATGTGTATAATTTATGTCCATGCCAAAAAAATGTTTTTAAATGTTGGAAAATTTATGGAAAGACATCCTTTTTAATTTCTTGCAAAGTGAGGAGATTCTTGGTTATGATGGAAGAATTTTAGAAATGATGATTACCAGTAGAGGTAGTTTCAAAACTGACAAAAAATGAAGTATATTTATCCAGAAATGAACTTGAAATGTTTTAGGTCCTACAAATCTAGTGGCAGATAGTCACATTAAACAGCTGTTTTCTGACCAGCAGCAGAGTAAATCAGCATGAGACCAGTAGTTTACCTTAATCAGTGATATCCTTGCATGTCCCAGCATTCTTCAGTGCAATCAATGTTTTGTCCAGTCCTAACCTGTGTTGTGGTTCTTCTTTCTGAAATAAAGCACTTAAAAAGTCGAAATAATGGAAGAAAAAACAGCAAATATTGCTGTAAAGAAATTCCTAAAAAGTGTCAAAGAAGGTGCAAATATTGAAAATATGTAAAGCATACTTGTATTGCTAGATTTTAGTCTATATCCAGAAATGGAGTAAAGACATTGCTTACTAAAGAGTCACTGCATCTGGGGAACCAAAAGGATTGTCCAACCTGTGGTGCAAACTAGTTACACATGTAATAGCAAAATATGATGAATGTAAAATACATTGCATTGAAACAATGATTTGTCAGTGGAACTGTGAACCAATTACCGCATGTGTCTGAGGTATGCATACAGTCATGTTGGGGAAGAAATGTTGCTAGTTACAAGAAGAAAGTGTCTTACTGGACATATTAACTGACTAGTGTGAGAGTTGTGTCGCAACAGGTTCGTGACCATACATGCTAATCTCCAGGCAGATGTTGGGGTGGAAGATTATGTTTTCTGACTGACAGGCTTCATCTTGCAGACAGAATCCTTGTGTACAGTGTCATCAAAGCTCAGAAAATGGAAAAATGACAACCTTCCATCCCAACATCTGCTTGGGGATTACAGATATGCTGCTGCGTTGGGAGCCCATCAAATCAATGACATAACCCATTGCTGCAAATGCCTTGTCTGCCATTAAGTTATGATTTGCTGTTGACTGTACATTTTGCAGTATTGTTGGAAACAACATTTATGTCTGTTTATACAAAAGTACCTTTGAAAATATTATGTCAACATGGTTAAAGATGATTGAGCATTTTGATGGTATTTATTTCCTAGCCTTCTAAATTGATAGTAGATGTGTGTTGTTGTATATCTTTTTATTTTATTTTTAAACCTTGCCAAGACAAATCAAAGCTACCCCACCAGACCGCATCACTTGGAGCCAATAAAAAGCAAAGTTTTTTTTAATTTATGAAAGTACAAGTGTGCATTTTACAATATTTACAGTGATGTATTTATGCAAACCAATGAGAAATAAAGCTATGAATATATATGATCCGTGGCAATGTTTTCTAATTTACAAAATAACTTTATCTCAAGGGAGTGTTGTATTGGTGTGTCCATGTTTCTAACTTTGCTTGGAGGGGGAGGTTTGTCATCAACCTACTGCATGTTACATTCGAATTTTCCTATATCCTGAAGTGCTAAGTAAACAAAGCTGAATGCGAGACCTGTCCACCTAAACAGAAATTACATTTACAAAGCAGTTGTCAAAAATAACTTCTTTATTAAGAAATATTCCAACTTGTAACAGTCTAACATAAGTGTTTTTTTTAATAATTGAAGCTATATGGACAGCACATACATGGCAATTTGTACAGGAAAAAGCATCAATATGTTTATGACAACATCAATTTAGAGAAGTTTGTATATATACACATGTATATTCAATGTGTACTCTCACTATGAGTGCCACACATGAATTCTTCATGATCATTTAACTGCAAGTCTTGATTTCAGTTAATGTTAGTCTTATTTCTAATTAGACATCCCTATTATGACAATTGTTCGTTTACAGCAAAGGTAAGTCAAGTTCAGAGCTGATTTTCAATCTCCACTACAGTTGGACTTAAATTCCCTTTCTATCTTCATGAACACATTCTACATGAAATGCAGTCGTCCCTTATGCAGTTCACAACTCAAACCAACAGACTCTAAGTATGTATCTCTATCCTAGCACCAAATATCTTTTGTAAATCAGATTTTTCTACATGTACAACAAATTTTAGTCTTTCCTTTGCCCTCCCAGTAATAGCTTCACCATTACTTATTTTATTTAGCCTTCGAATGTATTAACATCTGTCACCTGTAAATGACCAACAATTGTGTCTACTCTTGGTATTTGTTTGCTTTTGTGTTTTCCTATCATACAACATACAGCTTCAAGTTGAGCAGCTCAAGCAGAATGATCTCTCATCTCTGGAGTCATAGCTGTAGGAGAAAAGATGAGCAACAATTTAGACAAAAGTTGTCTATGTATACAGTAGCTGTGAGGCTCAGTAAATGTAGAAGGAAGCAATCTTGCCATTCCGACATACCAGATATAACCTTAAGTTTCAACAACAGAAGTGACAACACAAAACTGGTGGGGAACCGACGAGAAAACTGTGCAACATTATAACAGATAATGCTACTCTTTCATTGCTCTATCCAGAATACATTAGTCTGTCCTTAGTTAGAATTTTGCACAACTTCAGTGCTCGACACCAGAGCTATGAGATGACAGAGAAACATTTAGAGCTGGAGAGAGCCCTCAACTGTACAAGTGATGACTTACTTGGCCACTGAGCAGAGCAGACAGAACTCCCCGTAGCAGTTGCTGCACTGGCGCTGGCAGGAGGAACACATGGCCTTGTCACAGAAGCTGCAGCGGTACAGGGCTCGGATGGGACGGCTGCAGACCTGGCAGGAGGTCGGGCTGAGGGAGCCTGTAGACAACACATTCAATCATTACTTTTCTCAAAATATCACACTTAGGCCAAACTAATTTGACTTTATGAATAGCATCTCAAAACCAATGATGAAGTTATTTCAACATTTAAAATCCATATAAGTTGAGTCACGCAGAAATGAAAATGAAGCCATCACTTCCAAAAATGCAGAATACTGATGCCACTTGCTCTCACCTCCTTTACCAAACATGGCTTTGTGTTGACCGTTCAGGTGCGAGTGACCGTTTGCACCACCGTTGGTCATACTGTGGCCGTTGAGTCCATGGGAGTGTCCATTGAGTCCATGGGAGTGACCATTGAGTGCATGGGAGTGGCCATTTGCACCATTGGTCACACCGTTTGCACCATTGGTCACACCATTTGCACCATTGGTCATACCATTTGCACCGTTAGTCACACCATTTGCACCTGTACAGAATACACAACATAATCATGAAGTTGACAGCTACTGATGAAAAACAAAACACTTGTCATTATCAACACTGACCTCAAACTGGCAATATGGCAAGCAGGCCTAGTATATGTAATTTTACCTTGGCATGAACTTGATGATGAAGAATTACTCCTATGATATACTGTTCAGTATTTGATAAAACTTATATAGTTATAATAGAAAGGTAGGCCAGGTCAAAAGTGAGTACTAGTAGTGAGTTGTGTATAATGTTTCACAAATGTGAGTTGCAGAAAGGGATGAATAGATTGATTATTTGGTTTTGGCACTTCTGATAGGTACCGTTGTTCCCCTACAGTTTCTGTCATGAAAGACTGATGACCTTCTTTCTGTCTTGCTTTTTTCTTATCTCTCCTGTTGAGCATAATTTAGGAGGCACCTTGCATAATTTGCCAACACAAATCCCTTACCTGCGTGAACCTGAGGCACCTGGAGGTATCTATCCAGGTGCATCTGTCCTGCCAACAGGTGGTCGTGGTGGTCCATAGGCACATCTGCGACAGCCACAGTCATCTCCACTGCACCCGCACACTTCCTGGCACCTTCAAACAGCATCTTCTGGGTGTGTTCTGGGGAGAAGAACATTACATTATGACTACATGTACTTTGGTCAAAAGACCCTCAAAACCATGCCGTACAGAAACACAAGTTACCCAACTGACACGAAGAAACATAAGAGAGTAGCAATGCTGCACGTGTTTGTTATTTTTCTTCCCCGACCTCCATCTTGGCTGCCGTATGACGCAGGATGCTTACCGTACACCGCCTTCATATTCTGGTCCTTACAGACGCCCAAGTTGACTTCCTTCTGCCCGACATGAGTCTTGAGCTGCGGGGCGTAGTCTCCCCACGGGTTGGGGCGCTTTGGCATGGTGAAAGGCTGACAACAAAGCAGAACAAAACTCTCAACAACTCTTTCTTCCTCTTCGTTTTAAATCGCACAGAGCTTAGTGGTATATACCACTACTTTATGGGTTATGTATACAATTGATTTTGCAATGAGATATAAAACATTACAATATTCGTTAACAATAAGACCATTACTTCACTTGTATTACTTTTGTTATTGATTTAGCATCCTTTTAAAATGTCTTTTTATTATAAAATGTACATTTTGTGCAAAATATAATAGTGAGTCTCACCCTTGCTTGGTTGAGTCCAATTTTTCGCGGGAAAAACGTGCGCGTCGATTCCTTGCGCATGACGTCATGTTTATTTAAATATGGCCGCCAAATTTCGAACTTTTTGAAAGGTGTTGTTCTTTTGATAGTCCTGAGTCAACTCGAGCCACAGCAACGCATATCAAGGAACGTGTTTATTTTACGACATATGGGCGCTGGTGTCTGTCGTAGATGCTGCTTATTGTAGTGACTGCATTTTCTACCTGGTTTCCAGACGTCCATGGCCAAAGTAGGTCTATAAATAGATTATTGATCCCAGTGAATGGTTTTGCCAAATGCGGGTTTATAGGCTATAAAGCTCCTTGGTTTTGCCACTATTTTTGCTTTGCTTCTTAAAAAGCACCTCCTGGAGTTATACTAACTGGCATCAATTCAAGTTCTATCTTTAATGTCTTTTATATAATAATTAACAGGAGACCAAAATCACCATACATTCTCTTCTTCTATTCAGGCCTCGCAGGTCTGTATGGCCATGGATATGGCGGTGGTGAAGGTGGACAGTGGGGCCCCTGGGCTCCCTGGTCACTGTGTAACACATCCCCGGCCGCATGTGGAACAGGCACCAACACCAGGCACAGGGAGTGCCAAGGCTTTTCCTGTGCACCTGAGATCAGGGGGTGGAAGCAGATAGCAACTTTTGAAGAGGGCACGTGTGAAAAGGTTTGTGAAGGTAGGATTAGATCGTTGCACACCCTTTCTCATGTCCTTCAGTTCAAGATTGACACAGGAAATCAAAATCACATTGCCATTCTGATTAAAGGTAGAAATGCTGTAATGTAATTCCTGAATGTTTTCCCTTTATGGAAAATCATAAATATCTTTGATTCCTTTTGCATTACAGCTGACAATGGTGGAAGAGGAGCATGTAAGTACAAATCCAGCTTCTTTGACTGTTGCACCTTTTTGAGCTAGATGTGAATAATACAAATCAATTCAATGTTTAAGTGTATTATTAAAAGTCCTACGAAAAGTATTTGTGGAAAAATACCCATTTTGCAGACTACAATGGGAACTGGGGAGAGTGGAGTAAGTGGGAATGTACTGAGCCATGCAAGTCTGGTGTTAAGGCTAGGAGGGAGCGCTACTGTGACGACCCTGCTCCAACACCTGGACATCACTGTATTGGGGATGAGCAGGGGGCACAAAAGCAGGTAGAACCTGCTGCGTGTGAGGAGTACTGTGCAAAAGGTAAGACCTCTAATTAGTCTGTGTCAGCACTGAAATAGAGCTTTTGCAAAACAGAAATACCACAAAAATAGATACACATGTACAAGAAATATGGCACTTTAATTGCTTGTCATGAGTGTTTACTATTGGTTTTCAGGCTACTATGACATGTATATAGAGCCTACAAATGTTTGTCACAAAGTTTCCAGTAGTGGCAAACTATTGGACATGCTAAAACACAGGGCATTTCAGAACTTCACAAAAAAGGTAACAAAACTACAAGATAGCAATATAGATAGCCCATCAGTCCATTAGGTTTTTAAAATAACATGACTGTCCATTACCACAGATAAAACCAACAGCATGGGTTCATTTTACCTCTCCCTTGGGAATCAGCCATATATAAAAGTTTCTGTTTTTCCCAATTTCCAGAGTGGAGTGAGTGGAGTGAGTGGTCTGTGTGCTCCATGACCTGTGATGCTCCTGTCAGGAAGAGGATCAGGGACTGTCTGGGGATCGGGGCTCCCTGTCCTGGAGAGAAGGAGGAGGTCAAGGACTGTGATCAAAAGTGGAGGCATGACCCCTGTCCTCCTCGTAAGTAGGTTCCTCTTTTCTAATATTTCTACAACAGTGCTTGATTGTGACAGTGACTCAAACTAAGATGATGGTATACTGAGCAGAAACTTTTGTTTAAGTTAGTAATGAAGCATGATTATCTCCTTGATGATGGCCTTTCCCAGTTAATATTCTATTTGATTATGGAGACTAGTATACTTAGTTTAACAGGTGGTTTCTTGTCTTTGACCTCCAGAGCATGGTGAGTGGGGCTTGTGGGGCCCATGGTCACCAGACTGTTACCCACAGTGCAATGAAGGACTGCACACCAGACACAGGGACTGTGACAGCCCTCCCCCTATAGGGGAGGGGGAATGTAAGGCTTGTGTCGTCACACTCAGTAGCATAAATAACAGCCATTAACCTTTTCCCTCTGCTGTTTCCACTGCAACATGTGTTGCAAATAACTTTAAAATACATATAGTGATATTCATGTACAATGTATCAGAAAAAAAGTCGATTGCTTTCATTCAATTCATGCAATTGATTTTTGGAAGGAAAATTGTGGGATACAATATATCTTATGTGTGGTTAGAAAATCATAATAGTGATATCATGAACTATTTGTAATTGTACCAGTAACTACCATGACTGCTGTAGCATTTCATCAATATAGAAGATACCAATTTCCATCTCCTTGACCAGAAAATAAACTATTTGTTGCATTCTCGTAAGACTGCGAAGGAGAGGATGAAGACACAAAGGAGTGTGAGGTTCCGGAGTACATGATGAATCAGTGTGGAGCTGTAGCAGAGTGGACCAAATGGGGAAAGTGGCAACAGTGCACAGCAACCTGTGGCAGGGCTATGGGTAAGACATAAGAACCCCTCTGCACGTATTATGAAAATTATACAGATGACAGTCACAATGACCAATACATTGAACCTCTATGAAATCAGATTTCAGGCACTAAGTTCCCTTGTTGAAATATTCGCTTCTAACAATCTTGATGTCAAATCATATATTAATACCAGTACCAGAGACTGACACCTACTTTATTACTAGGATTCAGGGTAAGGCAGTGCAAGAACCCAGATGGTAGTCTGACAAACTCCTGTCGTGGGCAGGACAAGCAAGAGGCTCAGTGTTCCCTACCACCATGTTCTTTACTGCTAGAACAAGGGAAACCCACAGAGGAACAGCTAAAGAAACAAGCACTTGAACAACTTATGGAGGAAGAGAAAGCCAGTGAGTAATGAAAACCCCACTGTTATACCACTTACCTGATGCTAAAATAAACAGTCCATTTGGTTATTCAATGTTTTAGATATTCAAAGCTGATTTTTTTCTACCTGGCTGCTCCTCTGTATCTCTCTTCTGTGCTACCAATATGTAACTAAAGGTAAATCATATTTCCCATCCGCTGTTTGCAGAAATCCATCACGACATAACAGTAGAGACAGTTGCAGATGTTAAACTACCCTGTAAACATGTAAAGACTCAGATGTCTCCTGAATCAGCGGAGTGGAAAAAAGACGGCAAGTCCATCGAGGTGGAGGGAAAACACTTGGTGTTGGACAAGTGGGATCTTAGTAAGTCTCTGATGTTAGCAAGGTTTACCATAGCTTACAGATGGATTTGAAAACAAGAACATTGCTTACCTGCATGTAAAACTTATCGAGAAGAGTAGGTGTGACCCAGTGTGCTTGGCTAAAAAAGCAGCTGCATTGCACTAGTAGCTACTTGAAAAGCAACAGGCCTCACCTCAATGACTAGGGAAGACGAAGAAACTTATAAAACAGATTTGGTCTGAGAGTAATCTTCTTACACTTTCAGTCATCATGTCTGGAATTCCATTTGCATCAGAAACCTTGTGTGTTCAGACATTGTCATTTGCCTTGCTGTAGCTATCAGGTCCACTGAGGTTGAAGACACAGGCATTTATGTGTGCAGAAGGGGTGACTTGAAAGACAGGCCAATAATATACGCAGTAACAGGTAAGGATTTATATCTTAGATTAAAGATGAAATCCTTCAGGACACAAATTCGGGACTGTCCATAACTTGTCTGGCAGCAAGCAGTAGAAGACATGGTGTTGTCTTGGCAGTTTTACTTTAAATAATGAATATCTATACATGCACATCTTTTCATACTTAAATACTGACAAGTTGCTCGTTTTTGTTTTTCCTTATCCTATACCCCCACAGCTATCACCCAATAGTTGTATTGCCTTTCACCCTCTCCTCCCTTCCCCCCACATCTGCCCACCCCATCTCCCAACAGTTATCCCAGACAAGGCTAAACCTCCACAGATTGTGAAGTCTGAAGCCCACACCAAGCTGCCCTGCAAACCCGGGGTGTTAGCCATCCTTATCAAGGGGGCCACTGCTGTATGGAAAAGGGATAACAAGGTCATCAAGAAAATGGACGACCTGAAAGTAAGTGTAGAAACATGCAGCACACCTGTTCCTTTCATGTTACAGCAATTTAGACTACCAGGTAAGTAGATCTAAAAATCATTGTATCAGTATCAAACATTAGCTACAATATTTGCACACATTTGATACATATTTGGTCATTGTAAGATAACAATAGGCACAGGAGGAACTAAGGTGCTAAGGTAAGGTAAGATAAAACTAGGTGTACATCTCGGGTAGGAAATACAACTTCTGGAAAACAGTCAACACATGTACATTGCAATCAGAAAGAGTTGAAAAACGGTGTCACATGTGATGAAGTTTCCTCTACACTGGTACGTTGAGCTCCACTAAAACACATCAAATCTTGGTACCCACAGAGCCCCAGTCTTGTAATGACCAAACCTATTGTGGAGGACTCTGGCTTATACACCTGTAT